AAATAAATAAATTGTCGAGACTAATAGCAGTGAGTAAACACTATATTTAGTTTGCACTGTCTATGTAGATATCTGTTTATCTGTTGTGCAGTGATATAACTCAGTGCTTTTATTATAACATTTATATTGCATTTTAGTTTTTTTTTAAACTTATGTATGCATTTCTTAAAAGCATTTTTTAGTTTAATTCTAAACTGTAATTGACTTTTTCCTACCACATAAAGGAAAACACCATCATTAGTGTAATTAATGTTAGACTATAACAGGTGTCGCAATATGAACAGATTCTATGAATTCAATTAAATAATTAACTATTAAGTAAACTGACCAATTTACACAATAAAATGTGAAAAGTAACAAAGATAAGCTATTGTAAAAAAAAATAGATATAAAAAATAGTCACAACAAAATATTGAATTTTCTTTGTTGGAAGAGCAGCTTGTGTGTTTAAAGTTTGATGGTTTGATGTGGATTTTTTTTTTGTCATTTTCCTTTTTGTATCTTTCTATGTTTGAAACATCATAATAAAGTTTTAGAAAACATTTGAAATAATGGCCACGATTGTGATGCAGCTTTCATGGTGTCCAGTGTCAGCATCGTCCCAGCTCTTTGCATTGCAAATCACCAACGTCATTTTCAGCTCTGTGACACCAGAGACTCACGAGAGAGATTTAAACAAAGAGCCTCCCTTCCATTTAAACAGCCTCACTTTGTTATTCAAGCTTCTGCTGAACAAAAAAAAGTAGTCTCCAGGTTTTAAAGAATTTAAAGAACCTTGATTCCACACAAAACTACCATCGAGCTGATGTTGATTTATGTTGTGTGTGTCCCTTTAAATGTGATAGTATCTCTAAGATGTAGTGTTATGGTCACAAGTGAAGGTTTTCTGAAACATTCAGATTTTGCTATTTAGTCCAAAGTGAATTACATTCAGCTCAGTCAAAGTGTCACCATTAAGATATTCAGTCATCACTATAGTTCAGGAAAATTGGTGTTGAATTGCAGAAGTTATTTAAATATAAAGGGATCATGGCTTGAAATGTGTTTTTGCATTTTTCAGTTTAACAGTCCACGTGCTGCACATTTCCTGTTCCGCATTGATGTAACACATTAACTTAGGTCTTATGTGACTGTTGACCCTGAACTTTGCTGCCCTCATGTGGCCAAAGGAAGCAGTTGCACTCTGCAAAGTAAACTTTAAAATACAAATGTACTTCCAATGTTGGCCTCAGAGGCTGGGGGCAAAATCCACAGGCCTTGTTCTGTGCAATAAAGTTCTGTGTTTCCTCTTTGAGCTACAGATTGGGAACAGGAACACATAAAGGGAATTTCATACTAAAATCACTTTATAAGTCAACTACTTGACTCTCCAGAGTTCGCTTGATGAAGCCTCATTTCAACTTGAGAACAGACGACTATTTTGGGATCTCCTAATGTCAAGTAAACAGAAGAATAGCTCACCTCTTCGTGAGGAAACACTGTTTGCATATCCCTTTTGAATCATTGCTTGTTAAAACAATAGAAGCAGCAGAGAAGACGGGACGCTGCAGAACATAATAAACAAAACAATATTTGGACTGCTGTTGTCAGGATGCTACCGAGGCTGGATCCTACAGTTCATGTTCACGGCCCCGTCCACATTATTTCTTTTCCCGCTTTGTTTAGGACATATTAAGTTAAGTTTATTTGGTGAATCTCAGTCTGACTTTGTGGTTTCTGATTTATTGTCTTAGTTTTTTATATAGATTCTTTTGAATTTGTATTTCAAATTAGATTTTACACAGTGTCAGTGATAATTAAAGTGAACATTGTTTACGACTACGTGTTGTTCCATCACAGCACTGCTTGATAAAAATGTATAACAGTCAAGCCAATATTATTTGTACACAAGGAAACAGACTCTTGACTGTGAAATTTAAACAAATTACATAATTCACTAAAAAAATATTTTAAACTTTTTACCCTGTGAATGAAGGGGAAAAATATCATCTTGAAATCCTAAAATGAAATGAATTTACACATTTTGACAGTGCAGTGTGTGATATCTGGGGTAAAAGTATTTGTTGTTCCCGTCTTTGAAACAGAATGGAAACAACCAAGTAGACACTATATTGGAACTGATAATGGGAAGATGGAGAGTGGAGTCACAGACAACAAATCACAAGTCGGTTAGAGTCACACATCTGAGACGCAGAGAGTTACTGGGCTTGGTGAAGCTGGTGGATAGTTTGGGGGACATTGTTGGAGACGTCCATGCAGCAGATTGTCTGTTGCAACATGCTGTCTCAAACTATTTCTTAGATGACAAATGGGGGAGTTATGAACATTTCAGTGCCTGACTAACTGACCTTCCAGCATCCAGCAGCCAACAGCCTGAAGTCGTCTTATCGGCTGTGGCATCATATCATCACATTTTAAGGTGGCCTTTAATAACAACTGGTCGAAGGAGTTTCATTGTGCTGGTCTCACTATCTGATCATTGTCCCTTAAAGCTCAATGTCTGAAAAATTGTCTCCAGCTGAAAAGCTCAAGAACTATTTGTGCACAGTTGGCTCAATTTGACCTTTAACCT